CTTCCTCTCTCTCTCTCTCTCTCATATAACAGGAATTGTCAACTACCATAGGAAGGATAAAGGATATTTGGGGAGATTTTCCTCTTCAGCACATGGCAAGACATTGAATGGATTTGCCCAACAATCTCAGCCATCATACAATTTACATGTTTGTGGTTTAGCATGTTTGTAAACTATTCTCCGTGGCTTTGTTTATGCTGTGCAAAGCCAGTCATCAACTGATTTTTCCCCCCTCAAGCTTTGGCTCACTAGGTGTGAACAAACTGTGCAAATTTAAGCTTTTAATAAAAGCATTTAACAATACTTAATGTTCTCTAAAAGTCTGGATTTGGTTGTAAACGAATAACAGAGCAGGGTGAGGAACATAAAGAAGACAAAGAAAGTAAAGGGCTCAAGACTTTGCATCTGAGTTGATTAAATGTAGAATTAATTGTGGCCGATGGAAAGGAAACATTTCTCAGTCCATAATAATATGGCAGATGAGCTGGGAGTGTGCATGGAAGCAACCAGAACTTGGCAGCAAATCTAGTGGCGAGTACTTAATGTTCTGCCTTCCAAAGGAAGAAATAAAGTACCAGAAAGGGAATGAACTCTTGATTTATGTGGCTGAAATCTCACAGCCAGTAGTGCATAGAGGAACTGTGAAATGCTAGCACAGGCAGGAAGAAGAGATATGAATTCCTTATTCTTCTGCTCACCTACAATTCTATAGTGTACCCTTTTTTTAAAAAAAAAAGTATTATCTGTTCCAAGAAACTCACCTGCCTGAAGAACAAATAAACTCAAGGAAATTTCCTTCAGAAAATAAAAACTGACTCCAATAAAGAGAACGATAATAGAAGCCCAACTTGCACAACATCGATTCAATTGTAAAATATTTTGGAATTCAGTTCATATTCCAGTGATTCCACCTAACTTCTTCCCTAAGAATAGAGATACGGTTTGCCCCTGTCTTTGTCCAGGATGGCTTTTCAGTTTTCCAGTTTACACTTCAACTCTGGTCATTCATGGTAGAACCACATCCAAATACTAATCTTCCATGAGGATTTGGGGATTAGCCAGTTGAACATCTAGAAGGAAATGCAAGTGATACAAACATAGATTCTGAGGTGCACATCACAAGGTCAAAAGCAAACAAAAAAAAAATCTTCAAATACATCAGGTTGAGGAAACCAACTTTGAGCATAATTGTTTTCCAAAACAGTTGAACATCTGCATAAAGCTTGCTTGTGGCTCACTAGGTTTATTGGAGGGTCTTCCATTATGTGCTTATTTATTATCCCTCCTGCTAGGTTTTTTAACAACTTTCTATGTGCATTGAAGTATCCCTGCAGGTTACAAAGAATTTCCAACCCGGTTACTTCGATCCATTCCCATAATGAGCTGCCCAGTTTACAAAACCCTGATGTAATCCAATGAATCCATACTGGTGTAATCTTTCTATTCCGAAACATTAATTATAATCAAAATTGATTATTTCCTGAGCTACGACTGTCTTCGTCATTTGATTAGGGCTAAATGCATATCATAAAGCAAGCTGGTGTCTCCTGCTACAATAATTTAGGATTGCAGCTACTATACCCAAAAAGATTCCTTTTTTTTTTTACCCTGGATAGGTGGGAGAAGCAAGTTCAGCATTAATGCTTCAGTGCTTCAGCTTTTGACGTGCTGTGCCTTTAAGACCACGTAAGTATTCTGAGCTTTCTGATATTTCCCAGTGCTAGGAGTGTCTGATGCAGGCAGGGATGGGAACAGAGTCCACTTCAACATCTATGAGTTTATAACTCTCTTTATATCTGGTTTCTAATCATCTTTCTACACCTTTCTGCAGCTTGGCTACTCTGCGGCTTTTTTAAAAAAATCCTTTTTTAAAAAAAGAAATACATCAGAAAGTTCTAACATGTCATTTGGAGGTGGCAGTTCAGCCGCGAAAAATGCAAGAACCTGCAAGAGATCAAAAACTGTGAAGCGACATGCCAGCATCTACACCTATCCGGAACCACCCCACAGGTGAGGAATTGATTTTCTGCTCTATTCAATCAAGCAGCTGAAACACGGTACAAGGGAAAGAATTCTTCAGGTGCTGTTTTTCTATTGCTTTGGCATGGCAAAGCATCACCTGTCCAAATTCCCACTTCAGCACAACTATTGATGGACAGCTCTTGATGGCAAAATCTGATCATGCCTTGTAATGAACCGTTATAGCAAGCCCATGCTGATTTTGGACTTTAGCTCTGGAAAGTTTCTCAGCCTTGAAATTTGAAAGAGTTGAACTAAATATTTGGATTTCTTTGATGGGCCACTGTCACCCACATTCGTAATTTGCTTGGCATAGATTCACACATAGGTAAGAGAAGGAAAACCAGATCCTTTTTTTGTGCAAATAATTACTATGTAAATCTTCCTTCTAAGGGCCTAAACCAATGGGGAAGTTTGGGATAAAATACATGGACTGGGTTTGTAAAATCGTGCGCTTGGAAATAAACAAATGTGTGTTTTCATGATTGTTTCTGAGAGAAACATTGATAATAATGGTTTCTTTTATGCATGGTCCTTGTGGGGTCTGGTTATTTTTAGCAACTCGGATGAAGATAATGGGGATGAGAAGGTCGACAGCAATGACCCGGAGCAGATCTTCCAGAACATACAATTTCAGAAGGAAATTATGGCCAACATTTGTTGCAGGCCATGGCCCATGAGACAAAAACTCCGAGCATTGAGGTAATGGGGGTTACTTGTGGAGAATGACTGGCGTGAAACAATTGTTTTAAGGTTGCAAAGCCAATGGTCACACTCAGTGAGTTCATCTCCTTGGAGAAAAAGCCGCAAGCTATGTATCTCTCAGATTTATAGCCAACCTTTTCTCCAGAAATGCAAGGTTAGCCTATATTGTACTCTGTTTTTGCCTATTCTTTCCCTCACCAACAACGAGGCTGAAAAAAAAATGGCTGGTCTTAAGTCCTCCAGGCAGCTTCTATGGCTGAAGGAGGATTAGAAATTGGGTCTCCCCATTCCAACAGTTTCACCCCTGTACCACACTAGCTTTTGGACTGAGATGAAAGGATTTGGCCCATAGTCACCAAGGGACTTTTTGTGGCTAAGTAGAGATTTGAAACTGGATCTCTATGTCCTAATCCAGGGGTCGGGAAACTTAAACATTCAAAGATCCACAAAGGTCTTAACTGGAAGCCCCCCATTCAATTCTGGAGGCAACTGGAAGTCCGGTTCCCCCATCAGAGTCTCCTCCTAGCGCAGCATCCTTTTTCCTCTACCTGTCCTAACCGAAAGCCCTATCAATTGTGGAGCCAACCAGCAACAGGGAGCTACAGCAGCGGGATGAAAGAGCCACATGCGGCTTCAGAGCTGCGGGTTGCTGACTGCTGTCCTAATTCAATACCTTTGCCATCGTATTATGTTGGCTGAATCCAGATGAACATAGTCTAAGCTAGGATGCTCTCCTTCTCTAATACCTTCTTCTTTCTTCTGTTTTTGCTACTTCTTTTACCTTAAACTCTTAACCCTCTGTCTCTCCCTCTCTTTCTCTCTCCCCCCTACATTTTTTCTCTTCTACTTCCATTGTACCATTCTAAGGAAAGAAAAGAGACGTGCCTTCTTGAAATTTTCCACCAAAGAAATGGTTTTTCAGGAGTGCAGAGTATGACCAACGCTTGTAATTCAGCTGTTCAAATCACCTGGGAAGATACATTGGCTTTGACAAATTTAACAACAGTCTTTTAACATTTTCCCCCTCTTGGTTTGAGGACTATGGAGCTGATTTGCTCATGTTTTCCTTTATTTCAGATTACAGATAGGCATAGAAAAGTTATTTTTCACTGTTTTTAATTTCCTCTTTCTGGCCGGTGAGACAATTTTTAATGCTCCTTATTTCCTTTAAAAAAAGCAGCATGATATAGTTAAGGTAGCTAGATTGTGTGTGCAGCTAATAAAATCTGACTTATTGGAGGCTCACTTATTACTTGTAAATAGACTATGGCTGTATTTCATGCATCGATCAATGTGTTACTGTGCTGCTCTTTGGCTTAAGAAAAAGAGCTATGCCAAGAAATGGAGATCCTGTCTTCACAATCTACTCTGGAAATTGGAATAGTTTTTGCCTTCCTAAAGTGCCTTTAACAAGGACATTTACTCTGCTAAGTAACTGTGGAGGTGGTTAGCATTTTTAATGTTCAAAGAAACATACGTATTCCAATTATTATTTTTTTACTTACATGGTTTAAAGTAGTTGAGTATTACTGATATCATCCATCCCCAAGTGGGGGAATCCCTTTGTTAACAACAAACAGGATACAAGATAGGGAGTCATGGTGAATAAAACCAAGACACCTGATGGTAGACCTCGAGAGGTGAGGAAGTTTTTCATTCTTCTCCAGCGATGAAGTTTGGGAATATCCAGAATTTAAATTTGGGAATATTGGCATGCCAACCTTAAGGTCTCCCCTGGGTGAATAATTTGAATACTTTAGTATCTCATATGTGGCTGTCTGTATCCTGGGATTACATCCTCAACATTCAGCAGCAAAATGATCCATTTCATCACTGCAACATTTTTTTTCTCAATCTGTAGTTTGGATGTTTGCAAAATTAAGAATTGTTGGAATTCAGTGGAATTCATTTTGTGTTGTTAATCAACAGCACACGTTTAGATTAGGAGGTGGTTGGTTTAAAGAGGGGAATAGAAGTGGTTTGCCTCCCGGGGACCTCCTGTTCCCAATCTGAGTCTCTCCCCACCACCACCAAAAAAACTCTTGCCGACCTTCCATTAGGCGTTAAAAACTGGGGGTTTTTCCTGAGGTTTGAGCCTCCGTATCGAGTGATCCAGCTTGGTGTAGCAATTGTGTGTTTGTTTTTTATGCTGTGTGATGCAGTCTCTTTAAATTTGCTTTCATGGTCATTGCAGGTTAGCCGCTCAGCATTCATTGTGAACTGGGTGGTCCTATAAAAATATACCTGGAATAAAGGTGGCGCAGTGGTTAGGGTGCAGTACTGCAGGCCACTTCAGCTGACTGCTATCTGCAGTTCAGCGGTTCAAATCTCACTGGCTCAAGGTTGACTCAGCCTTCCATCCTTCCGAGGTGGGTAAAATGAGGACCCAGATTGTGGGGGTGATATGCTGACTCTGTAAACCGCTTAGAGAGGGCTGAAAGCCCTATGAAGCGGTATATAAGTCTAACTGCTATTGCTATAAATAATCAGGTTACAAAGTGCAACTTTCGCCTTCCTTGTGATGTTTCCTGAAAGCCTGGAGGCTGGATGGTGGACCCCTGACTCCTTAAACTTTGTCCCTCCCCCCACCCCCCGGCTCTCTTCCCTTGTCCACAATTTGTATTTGTATTTATTAGTTTGTCAAACACGTACAAGATAGCAGGTATAAGTATAAACATGGACATGAATGAAAGAAATGAATACAAATAAATGGGGACAGTAGGACAGGGACGGTAGGCACATTGATGCGCTTATGCACGCCCCCTTTACTAGGGGTGGGTTGCTACCAGCATTACTGCCGGTTCGGCATGCAAAAAAAATCTGATTCATTTGAATCCCTAGTGCCGCATAACGGAGTGAGCTCCCATTACTTGTCCCAGCTTCTGCCAACCTAGCAGTTCGAAAGCACGTAAAAATGCAAGTAGGAAAATAGGAACCACCTTTGGTGGGAAGGTAACAGCGTTCCGTGCGCCTTTGGCATTTAATCATGCCAGCCACATGACCACGGAGAACATCTTCGGACAGCGCTGGCTCTTCAGCTTTGAAATGGAGATGAGCACCGCCCCCTAGAGTCGGGAACAATTAGCACATATGTGTGAGGGAACCCTTTAGCTTTAGCTGCTGTACCCTTCACTTTCCCTGTGATTTTTTTAAAAAAAGAAGGAACATTAAGATGTTCCCATTGTCGTAAGAATAACAAGGGCAGACTGCCTTTGGCTGCAGGAAGTCCCACTACTTGGTGCCATTTATTTAATGTTGTTTATGAAAGGGGAATGGCCGGAACCCAGAGCTATAATGAGATTTGGGTATCAAAAACTCACCGCTTTCTTCTCTTGGCAGACAAGCTAAAGAGATTGTATTGAAGTATGAAGGTCGGCTGACTCGGACAAGAGGCTATCAAGCTGCTGGAGCAGAGGTTGGTCTGGTTTTCATTAAAAGCTCCAGAGCTCACTTTTCATGAAAATGAGCCCAGCATTTCTATTTGCAGAGAGAAATATTTCTAATGATATCATTGTCATCTCAGTGGAAAATATGGAGATATGCTGTTTACAGATCTCCTTTTCTTTCCTGGCAAAGCTTTCTACCTTTAATGAGTATATCAGGGAGAGATTCATTGGGGGAAATTCACCTATTGTGTATTATACAGCATTTGAACACCAACTGTCTATCATATGTAGGCTTTTTCATTTAGCTTGCTGAAATGGTCGTGCTATTGATTTTTGAGTCAAAAGGCTTTCTGAAGTTTGAGCCTTTGGTTCATTCCTCCTTTTAGTAAAATCCAGCAGTAGCTATAAAACTGAGCATGCATTACAAAATTCATTAGCCTTGATTGCAGAATAGATGATGTATTGAGTTGCTTTAGAACACATGGACCAATATTTGAATACATTGACATTAATCAATGAAATTTGTGAGCCACCCTCCAGGCCTTCCGCAAAGCCCTTAAAACCTGGCTGTTCTGACAGGCCTGGGGCTAATGAGTTTTTGTCCCCCCTCGAATGGTATGGTTGTTGAGTGTTTTAAATTGTGGTATTTTTTTGTTTGTGCTCTTTTTCTTATTTGTTCCCCCCCCCCCCCTGACTTGGTTGTGAGCCGCCCTGAGTCCCCTCCGGGGAATAGGGCGGCATAGAAATATAATAAACTCAACTCAACTCAACTCAAAAAG